AGTACATGCAGGGGACACTGGACCAAAGAAAAAACCTCTGCTCCACCCAGCAACACACAAGGATAAGCCTTTAATGCGTGTAGCAGAAATCTAATATAATATTCATAACTCTGTTTTAATTAAGCAGTGTATAATCACCTGAGACTCGTAATGTTTTCCTTAGCTTAGAAAAAGTCATTTGTATCAACTTGGGGAGTGGGTCCTCTTCCACGGAGTCTGCCATATTGCACCTTTTTGCGTTTTTACGTCATCTGAAGGTAGGGATGCAGACCGAAACTCTGTATTAAACGGGACCCGGTGCTAAATTATTAAAGACCGGAGACATCACTGGTGCTTTTTATTAGTCCTTGTTAATGTTTCCCTGTAATCACGCTGCAGCGCACATCTCTGCTCACTCTGTCGGGCTCAGCTCCTCCAAGTACTCACACACACACACACACACACACGGCTGCGTTGGAGACAGTGAAGTGAACCGGGTGAAGTGAAGGATACTCGAGCTGACGACGACTACGCTCGTTTCGGTTACTGCAATAAAACATTTGCGAGTAAGAAGCCAATACTTTATCAATACATCTGTTCAACAAACATGAACATGTAAACGAAAGTGAAATCGAATTCAATCAGCTTTGTCCGCAGGCTCTCATCCACCGCTGCTATGTTTACACAAGCACATCATGACGTTTTCATGTGGAAGGAAATGAAAATAATATCCCAGCGGGGATTGACAAAGTTTTAATTATCAGACATCTCGACCAACAAGTGCTGCTGGTTGCAGATTTAGAACCTAATAGTGGGTGTGGACAGATAGGTGGCTCCCAACAAACCAGACCGCAGATATTTTGAGGCACCTTTGTGTCACTGGAGTTCAGTTTGTGTTTTAATACGCCTGTGCTGGGATCGCAGCCCGTTGGTCACGCCTCTGTCTGCTGCTCTCTCAGTCAGTGGGGTCAAGTGAAGGACACAGAGGCACATGATGAGGATCTGGGCTTCTAAAGCGAAGAGGAAGTGTTGACATTGTGGAAACTGAAGGGCGACTTTGCTCCGTTTGACTTCTTCGGTACTTAATGTGGTTGATCATAAACTAAATTCGTCGAGCTTGTCTGGAAGTGCGCCTTGTCCCCCATCCTTAGCTGCTATTTTATGGTCAATCGGTTTTGAGTTTCATATTCGAGCCTATCAACTTAAGCTGCTTACGAGTTCTGAGGTTTGTCAGTGCATTGTCGTCACGTTCAATCAATCAAAACCAGTATCTACGCTGAGTGCTGCTGCTGTGGACAGCCTGTAATCTGATTAGCGTGGATTAGACTTTATGGAAAGGCATAATCTCCAACTTTGATTAAAGGGGCAACACAACGCATATACATAGAGGATTATATTTCCATGCACCAGGCCAGTTTTACTTTAGTTGTGTTGGTCTTTAGTCATCCACCCAGTTATAACTAGGTATAATAACTAATACCAATGTTCCAACGCAACATTCCCTATAATGTGTAGGCAATCACCATCACAAAATCAAAGAACCAAACATTTTTTTGTTTGTAAATGAAAGCATGTTCCACAAAAATTCATAACCTAACCAGTATAATTTCATTCATAATGTCCCATTCTGGAACACATTTTGTCCTTTTTTCTGTTCCCCCTTTGTTCGTCCATTCAAAAATGTCTGGGTGACTCAATTATATTTCATTTTTATGTAAATAAACATCCCAAAACGAGACCGGAGAGATTTCTGTTGAAGCACACAGTTTAAACAATAAGCAATAATAATAAATATTTGTATATTTACAATGGATGAAATGTGGAAGGTGTCACTTGTAGTGATGACGAAGGTTATGTCAAGCTTATTTTAGAAATGTAAGTTAATGATTCAAACCCATGAACAAGTTTACAATTATTTTGGTGGCACTTTCCAGCCTCCATACAGCCAGCAACTCCACCTTATTTCCTCTTATTTCTTCAGTCCGTATAAAGAACTTGAGTAACAAGTTGATTTTTTTTTTTTAAATACTGGCCAAAATGTGCGAGTCATCCCGCTGACGGCTTCCTGTTGACACGTAGTAGATCTCAGTATATTGTGTGTCACCACAACATCATAACCTGATCAGGCGGGAGCGGCATCATTTATTGATGTTGGTGGCTGGTGTTCATGGGTCATTTACAGACTGAAGTGTCCATTTCCCTTGTCAGGCTTTGATGTTCTTGAATGAAGCATGCTGCTGTAAGATGTCGACTTCCACCAACATTAATATATCGTGTTGGTACCCGTCTGCCAGCAGCAGGAGCACCAAAGCAGCTTAGTTTTACATTCAGATTCAACCTGCTCTTATGGCTGCCACAGACAATCTCCCGGGTGAATTCATAATGCAAATTGCAATGCAACAACTTCTTCTTTTTTTTGTTTTTTTACACCAGATGTCATTCCACTGGGAATACAATGGCTATAGTTAAAAAATAACTTTTTCTAAAATCATTTTTCGTCGTCCACACTGCAGCTCTTTACTGACATCAGAATCAGAATCAGAATCGGCTTTATTGGCCATGTATGCGTGCGCATACATGGAATTTGACTCCGGTTACACATTAGTCTCATCGTACATACACACATATGAAATATATACAACAAACAAGAGAAATATAAGAAAAACAAGGACATTTAACAGCTATATACAATATAAGTATAAATATATCCCAAACAAAAGTGTGTATGTATGTATATATAAAATACAATAGTGCAAACAGAGGTAGTGCAATATGACTTATTTAATTGTTCATGAGAGTGAAGGCCAGTGGAAAGAAGCTGTTCCTGTGTCTGGTCGTTTTGGCGTACAGAGCCCTGTAGCGCCTACCAGAGGGGAGGAGTTGGAACAGCTCGTGTCCAGGGTGTGAAGGGTCTGCAGTGATCTTTCCTGCCCGTTTCCTGACTCTGGAGGGGAACAAGTCCAGGATGGAGGGCAGGCTGGAACCAGTGATCCTCTCCGCAGACCTGACAATCCGTTGTAGTCTGTTTCTGTCCTGTTTGGTGGCCGATCCAAACCACACAGTGATAGAGGAGCAGAGAACAGACTGGATGATGGCTGAGTAGAACAGGATCAGCAGCTCCTGAGGTAGGTTGAACTTCCTGAGCTGGCGCAGGAAGTACAACCTCTGCTGTGCCTTTTTCCGGATGGTGTCGATGTTGGGAGCCCACTTCAGGTCCCGGGAGATTGTGGATCCCAGAAACCTGAAGGTCTCCACAGCAGATACAGTGTTGTTGTGTATGGTGAGGGGGGGCAGTGTTGGGGGGCTCCTCCTGAAGTCCACTGTCATCTCCACAGTTTTGAGCTTGTTTAGATCCAGGTTGTTCAGACCACACCAGAGGACCAGCTGTTCAACCTCCCGCCTGTACGCAGAAATCATCACCATCCCCGATGAGGCCGATGATCGTTGTCTCGTCTGCGAACTTCAGGAGCTTGACCGTTGGGTCCTCTGAGGTGCAGTCGTTGGTGTAGGGGGAGAAGAGCAGTGGGGAGAGCACACATCCCTGGGGGGCGCCAGTGTTGATAGTCTGGGTGCTGGATGTGATTTTTCCCAGCCTCACCTGCTGCGTCCTGTCAGTCAGGAAGTTTGTGATCCACTGACAGGTGGAGGCTGGCACAGTGAGCTGGGAGAGTTTGGGTTGGAGTATCTCCGGGATGATGGTGTTGAACGCGGAGCTGAAGTCCACAAACAGAACCCTTGCATATGACCCTGGGGAGTCGAGGTGTTGCAGCATGTAATGCAGTCCCATGTTGACTGCATCATCCACCGACCTGTTTGCACGGTAGGCAAACTGCAGGGGGTCCAGCAGGGGTCCTGTGATGTTCTTCAGAAGGGTCAACACCAGTCTTTCAAAGGATTTCATGACCACAGACGTCAGGGCGACGGGCCTGTAGTCATTTAATCCTGTGATGGAGGATTTCTTGGGGACCGGGATGATTGTGGAGCGTTTGAAGCATGAGGGGACTTCACATAGCTCCAGTGATCAGTTGAAGATCTGTGTGAAGATGGGGGCCAGCTGGTCAGCACAGACTTTCAGGCAGGAGGGTGACACACCGTCTGGGCCTGGTGCCTTCCTGGTCTTCTGTCTGTGAAAGAGCCGACACCACATCCTCTTCGCAGATCCTCAGTGCCGGTGGGGGGTCGGTTGGGATGCCGGTGGGGGGTCGGTTATACACTGAGTGGGAGCCCAAAAGAGAAGAAAATATGCATTTTCAAATTTAGCTACATTAGCATGGATAAGGAAGTCTGATATAAGACACACAGATTGTTTAAAAAAAGAAAGAAGAATTGTCCAAATTGAAGCAGCAGAGGCCGAGATGACTTTTAGACCCTACGATAGGCTAAGATTCAAAAAAATTGAGGTCTTTAAATTCCCATAATACAACCCTCGTGACATCAGGCTGCAACCCTGATTACACAATATGCACCCTGAGCTAATTATACAGCTGTAAGTTATTCGTGGCTGATTAGAAAGGTGACGCTAATGAGGTTAGAAAGAGCTAAAACACAACAGTTACACATGTTATACTATGGTGTGTGTCAGTTTGTGTGTGTTTTCTCAACGTGTAAATAGGCAGTGTTTGCATTGTACACAGCAGCACCTGCTCTGAAACGCCTCTATCAGCTGACAGCTTCCGCCTTGTTTCCATTACTTCAAGGTGAATACTGTGTGGGAGTGCTCTGGTCTCTCAGGTGAAGTGAGTGCACACCCTCTGAAACCAATGCAGGATACGGACCTCTGGTATGTCCTTGTCCCTCTCGAGTCATATTACCACTGGCAGCTCGTCTAAATAAAGGCACATATTTATTTACCACCTTTAGAATCCCACACCTGTCTTGTGTACTGTCAATATGACCCACACCTGGTGATCGGATATGTACTGTCAGTTGATGATCTTTGACATTTTCCAAAGACACGAGATACAGAATGCTGGTGGTGATATTTCATGTTCCTCTGTCCCTTTCCCTGTCTGTCGTTGCAGTGAATAGTCAGCGTTGAGGTGGGCCAGTGATGCCGCCCCCGTCCACAGGTCCCCCCGCCGTGCCCCCACCAGACGGCGGTTGGGGGTGGCCCGTGGTGTTGGCATCTTTCATCTCCATCGGCTTCTCGTACGCTTTCCCCAAGGCCATCACCGTCTACTTCAAAGACATCCAGATCATCTTCGATGCCTCCTACAGCCAGATCGCGTGGATCTCCTCCATCATGCTTGCGGTCATGTATGCTGCAGGTGAGTTGATTTTAAACTTTATGGTATTTTAAAGTTGCGGACATTTTCATTTTCTTGTGGAAGCAAATCTAATCTAAACATCACACTGCGGTTATTTGTTGAAGTCTGTAAGCCACACCCCCCGGTGCTACTCCATCAAGCTGTCAGAGCTACCGTGGAGCCCACACTGTCAATAACTGCACTCACTAGTAAATATGATCTGACATTTCAGAAAGAGCCAAACAGAATGGTCTACAATATGCATTTCATTTATTATAATAATAATAAACTATAATGGTGCTGTTCACCCCGGAAGAGCTTGAATCCACTATGATCCTTCAAATCACAATGTTAATCTTTTTTTTAGGGGTCTCTTTGAGATTTAATTTCGTTACATGCGTTGTGGGGGATTATTTTTCTTGCACAGAGGTGGTGCGCTGTTTCCTGAGCAGACGCTGTTGTGATTTACTCAACAGTGTTTGGTCTTGTTGAGCTCTTGCTGGACTCGTACGCTTTCTTTGTTGTTCAAGGGATAGAGATGGAAGTCGGTTGTGTCATCAGATCGTGACCTGGATTTTGAAAAGCACTGCAGCACAAGATGCAGACACGGCGTCGCATGCTGAGCCACAAAACCACCACGTTCTGCCAAGCTGAAGCAACAAATGAGAATTTATATCAGTATCAGAAACCGACATAAAATGTACCTGTTGGTAGAAAAATGGCATTTACTATAAAAGCATGCAAAAAAAACGATGCTTTGTATAAATTCAAAAGGGATTTTAAATGTTATCGCAAATTACAACGCCTCAGCTGGTCTTGCGTTGTTGAATAAGAATCCTTTGAAGGCTCAGAATGTGTTATCTGTAGGTCATCCTCTCCACCTTATTGCGCTGATCACCTGCTCTATTTCCCACTTTGGCTTCGGCACCCGCAGCTTTCTGCTTGGCAGTGCCACGGCTGCCATCTGTCCACGCTGTAATCCTCCTGTCACTCGATCTACTGCTGTTGTCCCCATCTGTACCCGGTCCACAGCAGTGCTGGAAAGCTCATTTCCCGTGTTTTATAGCGCAGCTTTCATCAACAGCAGTAACGGCAATTAAGTAACTGCTTCACTCAAGACTGTCTTCCTATAACTCTGAGTAGCACATGGACTAAAGACGCTAAAGTTTTGTTTTGTATTGTGGACACTATCTGTGAAAAAGAACAAGCAGCAAATGCTGGTAAATGAGGTTAATCAGTTACTGCCATGCTGACTAGTCCCTCTCTGAAAGCTCATTGAATCATGCAGGTATGCAGGTCGGTGTCCGGGTGAACATCCTCTGTTGCACCGGACACTCTAACATCACCTGTAATGGAATTTTTTTTGAAGTTACGGACCACCACTCTGCTTCAGCGAGATTGTCTTCTTGGCATGTAACTTCACTCAAACCATTCGTTGTTTATTTCCGACAGCACAGCTCTGCAATGACACAGCGTTTGACAGCTATCATAATATTTTGGTCCCTGCTGTCGCTGTTGTGTATATATTTGCAGAACCGGTAGCCTTGTATAGCAAATGAGGGTGTCTATTACGCTCATGATGAGATCCCTCAAATTTGAAGAAAATAATAATATTGGAACAAAATATTCAGTTTTTGGAGAAAGAAAAAGCAACTTGGCTGACCTCTGACCTCCCTGAGAGATCAATCCTTAGTGTGTGTCGGCCACGTCACGGTTCTGCACTTATCGCCAAGTGCTGCTTTAGCTTTTCAACGACTGTATGTCATTATCATGTGGTGACGGCGTCAATATGTGCAGTTACTAAGCGAGCGGCTCTTGTTACTCATTCATTCATATTGATTGCACTCATCAGCTATTCATTAAAACATCTGCTCTCTTGTTCTGCCTCTTACGCTGATGAAGCAATCACTGTTTGACACCTCTTTCCCCACTGCTGTGTGTGTGTGTGTGTGGGGGTGGGGGTGTGGGTGTTTACACAGCTCAGTCATAACTGTGAACCTGCCTGATAATGACCGACAGCCTCAGACACCCAGTAATATTTATCCAATCACTCTAAATTGCAGAAAGGACCTTTTATTCCTCACTACTGTCCAGTGCAAACATTATGTCTACAACCTTTCACAAACTCAAAATTTAAATCAGGCTTGTTTTTAGACAGACATGCATAAGCCGAAGGGGTATGTAATCCTTTCATTTCAATATTTAGATGACTTAAAAATTGTGAAAAATGACGACGCAAGTTTTTCAATCAACAATCGGAAGGTGTAATACAAAATACATGCAAACGTTTCAATCTTTTACATAAGACACAATACTGATTTTATCAGTCAACAATAAATTGATTGTTTTCTGTCAGTCGACTATACAATCAAGTTCCAGAATAAACTAAAGAGGTGCACTCCGCCACATGTGCCTGCAACGACCACTGCTGTAATGTGTGATTGAATGAACACAACCCACCATTGGCTATATATTACTGACATATATATATATATAATATATATATATAATATATATATATATATATATATATA